TTGTTTGGCCGCCACCAATATGGGTGATGCTAGATCCTTGAATATTGTAGAAAATACCTAGTTTAGGTCCAAAGTACTGCTTTTGTTATTTAAAGTTATTTACTATTTTCACAGTTCTTCATAAACAGCTTCTAACATCTCTCACTTAATGAAGAAGAATATTGGCTATTGATAACTTTGAATATCGACTGTTTCTGAATAAATATTAACCTTCCAGTAGGAACAAGTATTATTTCTTCATTCTTGAACATACATTACACTTTATGTAACCACTAAAACTAATCAGGAAAACTCAACCAAAAAAGAGAAAAAAGAGAGGAGATTCTCTGCGATCATTTCCCGAATTGCTGATACTTTGGTGTGTGCCATTGATTGTCCTGCATTCTTTACAATATAGATTATCAAAGAATTGATGGATTTAGTGATACAAAAAGAATACTACACTGTGATGGTGAAGCTGGGGAGTAGCGGCCAGAGATCATCACGTTAAATGCAACAATTATTTTCAAGCTTCCCCTTGCAAGTCACAATACTATGAAAATGAAAATCTTGAGAAAAGAGAGAGAGTTGATCCTGAAGTATCATTTGCTGGGCTTGGTGCAACATCTGAAGAGGTGCGGTAGGCTTGTTGACACTTCTGTACCTGCTTCGGCACATGTATACAGTATAGTACAGTCAATAAAGGTGTGGAAAACTTGGGGTGTCTTCGGTATATACAGGGTCATGTGTTGCTAGCATTTACTATTGACTTTTAAAAAGAAAAGACAACTATTGAAGCTTTGATAAACCCAAAACTCAGAGCATTGAGCAGTAAATGAGAAACTTACCTCTTCAGGACTGAATTGGAGAAGCATCGCTACTACAGGTAGTAAAGCTTCTACTTCACCTATTAAGAGAAAATGTGATTTTGTTAAAACACTGTTTCTATTTAGATGATTTATGTGTACGAAAAAATAAACAAAATTCCTGGCACTGACAGTAACTACTAGCTGTTACCTGTTTCGAGAAGTTTCAGGATAACATTTTTCAGGTATGTCATATCAACACCTTCTCTCTTCTGCATTCTTTCCATGTTTCGGAACTCCTCCTTTAACATGGCTTCCTAAATTTGTCACGCATAAACATGAATGCATATCAGCAGCAGGAACCAACTCTTTAATAATTTGTAGAGGTAGAACCTCTACCCAACACCATAATCTTCATCCTCTCAAGAATACAACAAAAAAGAAAGCATGACAAAATACATGGTTGGATAATTCAAAGGATTAAATGATGAAAAATGGTCAAGCCAGCTGGATAAAAGTTCACTTTCTGCACCTCAGAAATCTTGGTTTTGATAAAATAATTGAAAATTTCCCTTTTTTAAGACAGTTCCTTGAGGAGCAATCAAGATCCAACACAAAGATAATGAGAATATGGGGTTAGTCCAGACTTCTTACCTGCTGACTGTGCAGACGGTTTTCACGTTCAAGCTCTTCAATTTCCTCCTGCATTGAACTCAAGATCAGAAACTGAAATATAATGTAAAATAACTCTTGACTGGGAGTAACATACTTGAAGTGCTAAAATATGTCGCTGCGACTGGGCGAGCTCTTCCTCCCTTTGAGCCTGCTGTCTTGCCAAAAGCTAAAATTGAAAGAGAAGTTGTTGAGTCATTTTGATATGTTTACTTCTATCACTACACAAAGTAATAAAACAATAAGTTCGAAACCCAAATATATGCAGTACACATTTGTCTAGGTGATTTGAATTGGTAGCAGCATGGCAACTAAAATCTGAATTGGGCTACAACTTTTCAGTTCCCACACCCTAAAGTGTCTTAGAGACATGCAGAAGGTGAAGATGTAGCACCATACTCAAACAATGAAATGTTACATAAGAAATTTTAAGGACAAGCCATGGTTTGTACCAGAATCTGCTGTTCTGCTGCAGAGGTGCTATTTGGAGCATCCTGTCTGTGCAGACCTGATGATACCAGTTTGAAGGGAAAATATGTAAGGTGTCCAATATCCACAATATGGCAATAGGTTTAAATCCAAGAAAAATATCAATTTTCTTTCCAAACTAGGGAAGTATTGGTTAAGCAGCAGGATGAAAATAGAAATTATACCCGTGTTGTAATCATCTCCCTGATCAGCCTGAAACATTCATTGCATTGTCAGCTATGAATGATAAAATGGAAAACCCCTTTGTCAGCATGCTATATATAAAAGAGAAAAGCAAGTAAACATACAGGAAGTCTCAGTTCCAGGGATCGTTGAATATTCTTGTTCTCATCTAAAAGTTTAGAAATTTCTCCGTCCTTCTCCTCCATCATTCTATCGGCAAGATCACGGAACGAAGCATGCTCTTCCTACAAGTTTGGAAATTAGAAAACAGAAGCAGAAAATAAAAAGAAAACAATGCATGTGAACTACCTTATTACCTTAAGTCGTTTATAACGCAGTTTTAGCTCCTCCATTTCTTTTTGTACATCATCACTAGAGGATGCTTCATTTTGAGCTTTCAGTGATTCACACCTGACTGACACACCATAATTCCAAAATAATCTCATTCAAAGCTCAATTATGAAACATTTTCTGCAATACTGAAAAGGAGGACGAAAATGAATGAATAACTTGCAAAGCAAGGATGGCTTACGTCGCCACACTTCTTCCAGATTTTTAAGGTCCATTTCCCATGCTTCTTTCTCTGACTGGTGACGAGCATTAGCAGAATTAAGTTTCATCTCTAGGCTCTTGATCTGCTGCTTGGCACTGTCAAGTGCTTCATCTCTAATACAATTGCAGAGCAGAAATTTTAGAAATCAGGGCATAATCCAAAGTAAAAAATCCACAAAATAACATCATTATTTGGTAAAAGCCTCCTGTAATCCAACAACACTACCTTTTGAGCCTCTTCTAGGACATCATTTAAATGTATAATTGTATGAAAGTTAAGTAAATAATGCTACCTTTCTTCAAGTTCTTTACTGTGATTAGCCAAAGCACCTTTAAGTTCCTTCTGAGCCCTATCCCTTTCTGCAGACACTGCCTGTGCTTCTTTCTCTGCTTCCTGTGGGCACAAAGGAATATTTTCTTAAAGACAACTAGCAAACACATTTTTCCAAATCTCTAACACATGATTATGTTATGCTAAAGCCAGTACCTTCAGTGCTTCTTCAAGTGCTTTTATTTGTTCAGAGTCTTTAGCTGCCATTAGCTCTGCTTCCTTTTTCTGGAGAAGTGCATGTGCGCGAATTTTGTAAGAAGAAAATTCACTTTCAAGGCGGGTTATCTGCATCATATAAATTGGAAGGAGAAAACATGAGGAAAGGGAATAAAGCAGGTCTTTAATGCAGATATTGATAAACAGTCTTCTAGTTTATTAATAAAAATATATTAATAAACAGTCTTCAAGTTTATTAATAAAACAAAATGCAGAGGTTCTGCAGAAGTTATTGAGAAATGCAATGACAATAAAAGTTGGCCATAAGATTGTATAGTGTATGAGAATTAGCAACAATATTCTAATGCTTGCAATGTATGATCATGGGTGTGTGCTCTCTGCTGAAAAACTATGCAACATTCTTCCATAACCTCAAGTCTCAAGATGACAATTGCTGACATCAGGATTGTATAAAGAACTAATTGAACACATAAAATAATACCTCTTCTTTGGCAGCAGCAAGCTCAGTGTCTCTTGCACTTAGCATCTGGGTTTGCATAGATGCCTCTAATTCCAGCTGACCTACCCAATATACAATGACAAAGACTTTCAGTTTCTTTGCACATTATAATCAAATTACAATTATGGAATTTCTCCGAAATGCTGTTTTACTTTTCATTTTAGCCACTTCTATTTCAGCTCGAATGCAGTTACTCTCAGCAGTTTCCAGCTTTGATTTCAGTGCCTGTGAGGCAACTTCCCAGCTGTCCTTTTCCTTGTCCTGAGATGCATCAAATGGTTTATATCTTTATGGTAACAACAGCAGCAGCAACAAAAAGGAAAGAAGCACAAACGTTTACTAACTTTAGACAAGGATAAGTAAACTGGCATTGACATTATCAAATGTAACCTTTAGCGGACAAGGATAAGCTGTATAATTTAGCTATTCTTTCTCTACTTTATTTTCCATTTGATGCCAGTCCCTCTAGAGGGCCACGCAAGATCCAAACCTTTCTTATTTCTTTGAAAATGGCATTTAAGTTGGAAACCATAAAACATTGAAAACCCAGGAGATTGTGGATTATCAGCAATATTGTATTTCTAAAGGTCAGACACATGAGCCCCAAATTAATTAGTTAGGAGAACATCACCAAAGCAGAGTTAAGGTAGAGGTTACTAATTTACTAATTCCCAACCATATAGTGTTTGGTAATCAGATCAAATTAAAACACCGAAGAACAGCAATTAGATATTTTTTGCAGTTCAAGAGAGGATAACTATTAGCTCTTCTGGTTTTAAGTATTTAAGTTCATACATGCTCTTGTTTCAAGAAAGCAAGCTCCCCTTTAATGGTTTCTATGGCAGCTCTTAGTCGTGCAGCTTCACCTGATGAAGCTGCATCCATTTCTGCAATCTTAGTCTCTTTCTCTGCCACCATCACCTGCAAAAGCATGTTCGATAGTGCTTAGCCTAACTGAGTTTGCTGCATGTGGAAACACTTGGCAACAAAAGAAGAAAATTGGAGAACACTCTTGTTCTTGATTGCAGGTTTAGTTTCACCAAAAAAATATATGCTACTGAAGCTTACCTGTAAGGCAGAAATTGTTTCAGTTGCCTTGGTTCTATCAGACAAAGCATCAGCCAATTGCGCCTCCAAACTCTCTACATTCTAGTTAAGAAGACAGAGACAACAAGAAGCTAAAGCAACATTCTTGGAAAATAAAGCAGGAAGAAGAGAAGAAAATCTTTTCCTTACAACTAGGAAAATAAAAGGAAAATTTTGTGGTATCTGGCCACTGGTGTACCTTCTGATGTTTAGCAGATAGTTCAGCCAATGAAGCTTGCCTTTTCTCTTCTGCAGCTTGTAATAATCCTCGCAATTCTTCCAACATCTAAGGCACAATCAATTTATTAAGCAGATAATCACAAAAAAGGGCAAAATTATTAATTCTATCATTTTTTTTTTTTTTGGGTACATCAGGTGATGGGCTATACAATAGGGGATAGCCCTTCCCTTTCCAAACCCCTCGCCACCGATCCTAGGATTCAAACTTGAAATCTCCAACATGGAGGCTCAAGTTCTTAACCACTAAGATATCCCCTAGGGGACATGATTAATTCTATCATTAAGAGTTGAAAACAAAACTATAAGGTAAAAGAATTAAAAAAAAAAAAAATCAAATGGTTAGCAACTTAATTTGGATCCATCAAATGCTGATAGACAATCACTGGAAACATAGAGGCACATTCAGAACATGACATATTCACATATACCATGCAAGAGAAATTAACCACATTGACCATAAGATGAGCATGGTTATTCAATACCTGTTCTTTCTCCAAAACTGAATGCTGCAGAGCATCAATAGCCTCGTCTTTAGGTTGCAATGAACGGCGCAATTCCTCTAGGTTATCACGAAGTCTGACGTCAATGGCATAGTAACAATAATGATTAAAATAAGAACCAAAAAAATTATTAGAAAAAAAAGAAAAAAAAGAAAAAAAAAAAGAAGATCTTCAAATTCAGAAGAATAAATTTGTACTTAATTATTACTCCTGGTGACAGGTAGAGAAACGTGATCAACAAGGATGAATGCATTCAACATATTGTACAAGTAAATCTTCAAATTATTTAATAAAGAATATATGTTGCCTAGATTTAGGTCACTGGGACAAAATAAAAGGTAATGGTGCTAATGCTTAGAATTTGTTTCTTTAAACAAATTATTCTTGAACAACTCTTATGGATAAAAGGTTGTGAGAGACCAGGTCACCAGGAAGTCAACTCAACAACTTTAATAACAACGTATGAAGTAGAAAGAACACAAGTATGCACACATGTATATGCACCCACAGACATCACTTGAGCTGAAAAGCTGGTGATAGAATTTACTTATTGTTTGCACTTCTTAATTGTTGTCTCTCCGTATCTATTGCTTTCATTGCTTCACTTGCTTGTTGCCGTGTGCGCTCCAAATCTTGCTGCAATGCTGACTGTTGGGATGATGCTCGCTCAGCTGTTTCATTTACTTCACGAAGTTGAGCCTCAAGATCATCCTTTTCCTGAAAATGAAAATCTCCAAGCAATAATTTAACTTAACCCCAGTGCAGACACTAAACAATTCACTTTTTTATTTCTTGAGAAAAGCAGATAATAATAATTCGGGGACAGGATTCACCTTTTGAATCTCTTGAATACGCTGCTTTGCACGTTTATGAAGCCTGCTAAACTTGGAGTCAAGATCAGTGTACTTCTCCTCACGCTCTTTTATTTCTTGATCCAACTTCTGTTGTGCTACACAAAGGGATCAAATATGTAAATATTCAGACTTAGAGGAGACCTCTTAAGATAGCATCTGTTCTATGAATGTACAATCACAGTAAAGATTTATTAACAAATCCTCCTAAAAACACACAACTTCTCAAACCTGCAAACCCAATTAATTGAAAAATTCATATACAATTTTCTTTTCTTTATAAGTTTTTATAAAGGAGAAAATTCTAAACAACAGCAGAATGATCAAGGTTGGATATATCCATAATGAGCATGGATCATATGGAAAGTATCTTTTCTTACCCTCTGTAAGCTTGCCCGCAAGTTCTCGAGCTTTTGTATCTGCCTCTGAGTGTGCCTCTTGAAGATGCCTCAAAGCCTCTTCTGCTGCAAGTCGTGTTTGTTTTTCTACATGCAGCTCTTTACTCAGAGACTCTATCTTTTCATGAAGGTCTTTCACAACCGCAGAATCCCCACTATCCTCTCCAATCCCTTTACTTTGTTGGGAAGACACATCACGTTCTGATTGATGATCTTTCAAGCTCTCAAGCTGAGACTTTAAGAATTCATTTTGAAACTTCAGTTCAGTAACCATTTGTAAAAGTTGATCATGGGTGTCCTCTGAAGGTGGGTTGCCATCAAACAACCCATTGTCCTTAGCAAGACTTCCATTCGTGTCGGAAAACTCTTTCTTAGGCTGCATAGAATCATCCCCATTACTTCCTGGTACTTGAGCTACCTCACCTCCCTCTTCAGACATTCTTCTTTTCACTCTCAACAAAATCACTCTACCAAAAACCGAACTGCAACACAAAAACCATATCGATAAGCTTAAGCTATCAGCAATCAGCTAACTCCATGAGCGAATTACACAAACTGAAGCCAGATTTCGATCCCGAAATCTCAATTCAAAGCATTTAAAGAGTATACAGAGCAGAAACTGAATGTACATCAGATCAGAAAATGCAAAACAATTTCGTTTAGGAATTAACGGAAACAAGTGTACCTTGTATCTTCGGCGACCGAAGATCTATCACCTTTCCTTCAAGATTAAACTCCAAAATGATGAGATCTCACGGGATAAGGCAAAAGGAACACTGCGCAGCACATACCCGCTCTGATTCCGTTTCCAACAGATGGGGGTGAAGATGCACTTCCAGAGGCATTCTACAATTTGAGAAGGGTGTTTTAGTAATTAGGCTCCCAGCGACTAACGACGGAGCTAAGCAAGCACCACCTGTTGTCATATGACTCATATTTCATCTCTGGGCCTCCAACTAATTTCAAGCTTCCAGGACTGGGCCTAATCTAACCCTCAAGGCCCTCTTTTTTTTTTTTTTTCGAATTTACGATGAATTTTCGTTTTACAATTTTAAGTATTTTAAATTATAAAATAATAACCATTAAATAAAAACAATTGAAGAAACCTGCTTCTTCTGATTGTTTCTGTATTGTAATCTAATGCAATCCTAACTACACAATACCCTTTTTCTGATATGAGATTCATTTATATTAACTGAATTCTTCACTCCATTATAAAAAATTGGATGGCACTTTGTCCCAACGGGCTGACTCTGAAACAGAATTCTTGAATTCTACACACGGTCAGAGTCACCGTAAAAAATAAATGGTTTCACAATTCATCCAATGTTATGAACAAGATCAGCAATGGTTATGAGCGACTATGATATCTATATATATATATGATGAATTGTTTTTAATTTTGTTTCACAAATAACATGATGTATAAAAAATACAATCAATCTCCCCAGTCAGGTTGGCGGTGCAGATCCACGCCTCCCAAGTGTATCAAGTATCGCTGCCCTTGTTTTCTTGATCCGATGAATCTAAAGAAAATGCAAACTGTTTAGAATTTCAGAACAAAAGTCCAACCATGTGATATATATGTATATAGAAGAGGAGCCCTCCTCCCAGACAGCTCCATATGACAGTTACTACTTCCACTAATTTCTATCCGCATAGACAGCTCCACATGACAGTTAGTCCCACTAGTTTCTATCATCATAAACTGGTTTGGACATGTTTCTAACACGCTATATCGAGATTTTCTTTAAGAAAAATGAAAATGTTACAAGAAGAGAGCATAGTTACCAGTGGACTTTCCGTCTCTTAAACCAACAGCTATATTTTGGAATAAGTCCTTGGTAGCATCTGCATCATGACTTGTGTAACAATGAGCATAGAGATGCAATGAAAATAATGCAGCATTATTATAAATATCAGCTTCAATCAGATATATAATATATAGCTAAGAGGCCAGAGAATAAAATATAAGCTTATTATCCAAATGTTGAAATGCATGTCACTTCACGAATGAGTCATGTAGTGTTGTTTTGGTATTAAAGCATATGTTATGATGTTAATACCCTGTGCATAGTAAGAGTTAGAGACATACCATGATTCATTGTCAGTGAGGGATCTTGCTCATCTATGTATCCAAGTACCTGTGCAGGTGTTCCTGCCATCATACTTCCAAAACAAAATAGATATATCAGTCATGTGCCATCCTGGAAATTTACAAACAACACATATACAACAAATAATCTACCTATGTGGAGGAGCATCTTTTAATACTAGTGAACCAGCGGCAAGCATTGCCCCTTCACCTATCTTTATATTCCCAAGTACAGTCACACAGGCACCAAGGAGTGCACCATCACCAACTTTTGGATGGCGATCTCCAGTTTCTTTCCCTGTCCCTCCTAATGTCACACCCTGTTAAACAGCAGTGTAAGGAACATTACTGATAGAAAATAACTCTTCCATGATATGTAATTATACCCAAATTAGAGTGCAGGATTAATTGACTGCAAAGAAGTAAGATATGAATTGCCTCATCCCATAACTCTCCCCATCTCCACCTTGCTCCCTTTTTTTCTCTGTTTTCTGTTAGAACATCATTGAAGAATACTGGCATCGCTACAGGATTAAGCCATCTCTTCTGACAGGGAATTTAAAGTTGCCAAAGTAAATGGTAAATGAATTAAAAGAATAAAGCAGCTTACATGCATCAAGGAGACACGGTTTCCTACAACAGCAGTTTCACCAATAACAACCCCTGTTGCATGATCCAACAATATTCCATCTCCAATTCTTGCAGCTACATCAAATCATCAAATAAGAAAACAGATTCAAGTATACTCTGTGTAAAAGCTAGAAAATGTTTGTCACTTAAATACTAAATTCTTTAGGATATAGCTACCATTTATACTACTCAGAAGGAGTATAGATGCCTATGTATCTTATAATCTGTTTGTACCACAGATCCGCACATCACAGTGCTTTACTTTCAGAGGGTGCTATTCTTCTTCTTTCTAAAATTGATAATAGGATATGGTATAGAACAAACAGGAGGAGAGGATATATATGAAGAAATTGAAATACCTGGATGTATGTCAACACCAAAAACCTGAAAAATACAGGAAAAAAATATTATTAGGACGAACTGAAAAGGCATAAACCAAGCTTGAGGAACATATAGTCAAAAAATTAACATTTACCTCACTAATTCTGCTTTGCAATGCCAATGCCAATACTTTCCTACCTTGCTTCCATAATGCATGGGCAACTCGATATGATTGCAAAGAATGGTATCCCTAGAAAATGAATGATTGAAATGGAGGAGTGCCGTTAAAGTCAATTTTTTAACTTTTTGCCAAAGGCAGAATTTGGATGTTACAATTGTACTATTATCTACTTTAATTCATCTCTCCAACAACTCATCTCTCAACATTCCCCCATTTTTAATCTTAAATTTTTTCCTTCTCTACCAAATGAATAGCTTATCAACTTTTTGTCAAAAACAATTTCCAAACGGCATACAATTAGAAAAAATAAGAGCAAGAAAATGTTCTAAAGTCACGATAATGTACCTTAAAATACAACAGAGCTGAACAATATGACAAACAGGCAGGATCTCTGTCTTTGAATGCCTGCATAAGGATGATTTCTGAACATCAATACACAATAACTGGTACTTGAAGCAAATGATATAAAAGAACGTATATAATTCTCTCTAAAAATGCCCCAGAGAGATTACCTGCACATCCAGACGTATTGATTGTTGAATGCCTCTATCATGCATCATAACATTTTGAAATATATCCACCAGTTGAGTTGCCAAAAGTGTTGCATTTTGGAGCCGATCAGCAAGAACAAACGCCAATGCTTGCTCCAAACAATCATGTGCCAGGATACTGGCATACAAGAAGCTACTTAGAATTGGTTCGTTTTCTGCCTGAAATCAACAATTTTTAGGAGATTCAATCGTATTGCTGACAAGTTAAAAGAATGAAAATCAAGTGCAGTTGATCTAAAAGACAACTAGTGGCCATGTTGTGCATTTTCATAAGTTTTCACTCACTAAAACACTAGTTCCAAGTTCTGAACAAAGGCTTATGCTCTTTCAGGCAATAAATTCAGGTCTTCAAAAACTCAGCATCAGGGTAGGCAATCACAGACTACCATATTGAATTAAGTTCACTCTCCTATCAAAAGAGATTTGGCACTTAGTAAAAAACTTTGAAAATTCCAACAGCCCTCTTTCAAATTTACCAAGAAGAGGTGATCATTGAAAAAAAAAGAAGAAAAAAGTCAAGTCTAAGTCCATCCAATTGGCAACAAAGTCACATGACTTCAATAATAATCAGGAAATGAAGATTAAAGCTAGAAGAAAACGATTCAGACACAAAGAAACTATGAATTCCAGACTAAACAGAGTCAACTTCAGGACACAACCACATTTCCAACCCACTAAATCTAAACTAGATGGTAACACAACAAAAATCTTTCAACAATCAAGAATCCATCCAAAACAACTAAGGAAATGAACACTCTAGAAATAAAATCCAAAGGGGTACCTCCAACTTGGCCTCCTCTCTCACAGCGTCCCAAATCGGGTCACCAACAGAGTTTGCAACAGAGCTGGAGTCACCCTTGGAAACGTCCATTGCATACACAGGAAACACCTTCTCAAACGGGAACTTCCCAAAGCTTCCTTGACCTCTCCCGCCGTACCTCCTTTCTCTGAGAGATAACCCACCAGAGGGCAGCTGAGTAAGGGAACTCAGACCCCGAGTGTCATCGGTTACACAGGCCATGAAAACAAGAAGAGGAAAAGGAAAAAGGAGAGGTTTTTAGAAATTAACTGCGAATTAAAAGGTCTGGGGGACTCTTCATGAATGAGACAAAGGAAAAGAATCTGAAGCAGAAAATAAGCGAGAGGTGGTGGTAGTGCTGTTGGGTGGCGGCTCAGCAGCCAGGAAAGGTTACCATGTGCAGTAATAATCGAAGGGCGATGCTATAACGGATGAATGTGAAACCCTTTTTTCTCGTGGCTCTATGAATGGTTCATGTACTTCCCTCTCCCTTCGTCGCATATCTTGCTATTTCTAGGTGTCTTTTTTTTCTTTTAGCTAATGAACACCTTCCTTAAATATCTCTATATATAATTATAATATTATAATATATTATTTTATCAGTTTATAATCTTAATATTATAATCAAAGAGAGAAGAAATTTTGAATCAAAATTGTATAATATGCCAATCATATAAATAAGTTATTAGTAATGTTCTTTTATTAAAAGTAAGAATTTTTAAATTCAAATTACATTACATATGAATATAGTAAATTAAGAAAATATGAGAAAATTGTCCCATATTGTGTAATTTAAGACAAAAAAAAACTTAAAATTACATTAAATGAATGTATTATCAAATGAGTGAAAGATTATTAATGGTTATTAAGTGTAAAAAATAATTATATAATGATAAATTATATTATAATTTT